TATGGCCTTTATTATGTTGAGGTACTTGACCTATATACCCATTTTGTTGAGAGTTTTTATCATGAAGTGATGTTGAATTTTGTCAAATGCTTTTTCAGTGTCTATAGAAATGATCATGTGGTTTCTGTCTTTCTTTTTGTTGATGTGGTGGATGATGTTGATGGATTTTCGAATGTTGTACCATCCTTGCATCCCTGAGATAAATCCCACTTGATCATGGTGTATGATCTTCTTGATGTATTATTTAATTCAGTTTCCTAATATTTTGTTGAGTATTTTTGCATGTATGTTCGTTAGGGATATTGGTCTGTAATTTTCTTTTTTTGTGGGGTCTTTGCCTAGTTTTGGTGTTAGAGTCATGCTGGCTTCATAAAATGAGTTTGGAAGTATTCCTCCTCTTCTAGTTTTTGTAAAACTTTAAGGAGAATGGGTATTATGTCTTCTCTAAATGTCTGATAAAATTCAGCAGTGAATCCATTCAGCCCGGGAATTTTGTTCTTTGGTACTTTTTGATTACTGATTCAGTTTTGTTGCTGGTAATTGGACTGTTTAGATTTTCTGTTTCTTCTTCAGTCATTCTTGGAAGGTTGTATTTGTCTAGAAAGTTGTCCATTTCTTCTAGGTTATCCAGTTTGTTAGCATATAGATTCTCATAGTATTCTCTAGTAATTCTTTGTATTTCTGTGGTATCCATAGTGACTTTTCCTTTCTCGTTTCTGATTCTGTTCATGTGTATAGATTCTCTTTTTTTCTTAATAAGTCTGGCTAGGGGTTTATCTATTTTGTTTATTTTCTCAAAGAACCAGCTCTTGGTTTCATTGATATTTTCTATTGTTTTATTCTTCTCAATTTCATTTATTTCTTCTCTGATCTTATTATGTCCCTCCTTCTGCTGACTTTGGGCCTCAATTTGTTCTTATTTTTCCAGTTTCAATAATTGTGACTTTAGATTACTCATTTGCGATTGTTCTTTCTTCTTTAAATATGCCTGGATTGCTATATACTTTCCTCTTAGAGCTGCCTTCACTGCATCCCACAGAAGTTGGGCGTTTGCTGTTGGTTTTATTTGTCTCCATATATTGCTTGATCTCTGTTTTACTTTGGTCATTGATCCATTAATTATTTAGGAGCATGTTGTTAAGCCTCCATGTGTTTGTGAGCATTTTTTTCTTCTTACAATTTATTTCTAGTTTTATACCTTTATGGTCTTAGAAGTTGGTTGGTGGAATTTCAATCTTTTTTAATTTACTAAGGCTCTTTTTGTGTCCTAGTATGTTGTCTATTCTGGGAAATGTTCCATGTGTACTTGAGAAGAATGTGTAGCCTACTGATTTTGGGTGTAGAGTTCTGTAGATGTCTGTTCGGTCCATCTGTTCTAGTGTGTTATTCAGTTCCTCTGTGTCCTTCCTTATTTTCTGTCTGGTTGATCTGTCCTTTGGAGTGAGTGGTGTGTTGAAGTCTCCTAAACTGAATGCATTGCATTCTATTTCCTCCTTTAATTCTGTTAGTACTTCTTTCACATATGTCAGTGCTCCTGTGCTGGGTGCATAGATATTTATAATGGTTATATCCTCTTGTTGGACTGAGCCCTTTATCATTATGTAACACCCTTCTTTATCTCTTGTTACTTTCTTCGTTTTCAAGTCCATTTTGTCCAATACAAGTACTGCAACACCTGCTTTTTTCTTCCTATTGTTGGCATGAAATACATTTTTCCATCCCTTTACTTTTAGTCTGTATGTCTTTGAGTTTGAGGTTAGTCTCTTGTAAGCAGCATAGAGATGGGTCTTGCCTTTTTATCCATTCTATGACTCTGTGTCTTTTGATTGGTGCATTCAGTCCATTTTCATTTAGGGTGATTATCGATAGATATGTGCTCATTGACATTGCGGGCTTTGGATTCGTCCTTACCAATGGTTCAAGGGTAGCTTCTTTACTATCTAACCATCTAACTTTAACTCACTTATTACCCTATTATAAAC